TGGGGCTATAACAAGTGGGCTGGAAGGTGTAAGACATAAACTTGGGGCCATAACAAGTGGGCTGGAAGGTGTAAGACATAAATTTAGGACCATAATAAGTGGGCTGGAAAGTGTAAGACATAAACTTGGGGCCATAACAAGTGGACTAAAAAGTGTGAGACATAAACTTGGGGCCATAACAAGTGGTCTGGTGGCTGCAAGAAATGGGTCGTAAAAAGACCCAGAAGAAGTAGTCGATCGATTAGAGTTGTCCCTTCCGGACCGCTACCTTAAGGTTGACCATACCGCAGTATGAGGTCTATCGGTGTCTATGGCTTAGGCGTTGCGAACGCGCTTCGTAATTCCGCTGTGCCTTCTTCGATCCCAGCTGCGGACGGCTTGTCTTGCGTTGGTTCAGACTGTGGTACCGATAGAGGCCCGATTAGAAGCAATGGCCAATTACTGAACGTAAAATTTGCCTAGACAAATAACAACAGCCCTAAATGCTGGAGATGCTTCTGCAACGTCCTGTAAAGGATACGCAACTAACTTTTTTTTTTTTTAATTAATCAGGTCTAAAACTGAATCTGGATCTCAGACCAACAAGATACTCCAGCCACGAGTAACCCTGCAGCCCCGTGTGGCTAAGGACTGTCCTCGGATACAGCAATGAAGTTATTAAGGGAGGTAATTGTGTTAAAGGGAAGTAACCTGGTTTAAAACAAGAACAACGCTCAGGGGATGGCAAACAAATTAAAGAAGTGTTACAAAGTCGTATTCAGGACTGTAATTACATGCTTTTGTGTCGGTTGTGCACTACTAATAGCGTTTGGGAACCTAACTGTTCAATTCAGGGAAAGTAAACAAGTTGCCCTTGCCCTGAAATGTAGTGCCTTTTTTGTAGTGTTATTGTCTGTGCTGGACATTGCTATAAGCTGACTGACTGACTTTCTACCCCACTAGGACATCACACAAGCGATAAACACCCGATGACACAAAGTGCCACCATGTGGATGAGGATCGCCGTGGAGAGGTCCCAGAATCCGCGTTCAGACAATTTGCCACATTTATGGCCGGCCTATATTGGGGTCCCTGGCAAAAGCCAGGGTGGGGCTTCCAGTAACACAAAAAAAAATGTGTCCTACAAAGGACGAATCTGGATATAGTTATGCTATAAGCTAAGAAACTGGAGCTTAGGGACACATATCACAGTCATCTCCTTGTGGGATGCAATTTTTCGTTATGTTGAAGCCCAACACTGGTTCTTGTCAGGGGCCGCAATATAGCCCGGCCTCAAATATGAGTAAAATGTACTACTAGCTTAGGGACCGCTGCGAGTTACCACACTATTTTGCTACCTGCCGAAAACAAATAACTGCTAGTCCTTCTTAGGATAAGCAGCGTCACATTTGAAGCATACCGCAAGGCGAGAGGCCTATTAGCAGAAGCAGTTTTGTTCTTCGCCGATACCATGTCTCGAGGAAGCAGATCTAGCGGAAAGTGTGCCGGCGAGAAGAGGCAACCCTCTAGCCGATCTACCCGATCTGCCTCAGCATCCAAACAGACAGAAGCAACTACCACTAAATCAATGAAGGATGACGCCCCGGCGACTGGCGAGGCCCTGAATGACGTCCCAGCGTCACCCGAACCAACACCAGAAACTCACAGGATAGACAGAAGACCAGCAACCGCGAATTTCCTGCACCATATCCCTCCGACAGACCGGCTTGGGCCAAGCAGCAGTTACTACACTAGCAACATTGACGTAGATCAACATGCTGGAGACCCTGCTGGGTAAAAGTGCGGTCGCGAAAATCAGAACTCTAGAGGACGTGATAGCTGTTATTCAATAGAACCAACCGTACCTTAGGTTTAGCTGGATGACATTAAACAGAACAGCAAGAAAGAAAGAACTTCTGTCCGATGAGCTGACCGTGACCGCAGTTTTCCAGAATGTTAGAAGATGGGTGGTTCGGACCAACATTGATGCACTTGTTCCGTCGTTTTAATTAGTCCTCCCAAACCTGCGGCATAGAACTGCGTGGTCTGTTTTCTAAACCACATTTTCACTTTACATTCAACTTCTGCATCATTCGCGAAATGTACGCCAAGATGGGTCAATCGGTCACGCATTATATTGTATGCTGAACCACGTGAGCACCCTTTTGCAGCTGCTACAGAGTCACATGTTACTCGTCTGTCACCTCTAATCATTCCCTCCACTCACTGCAAAGATGTGTCTGTTGCAATCTCAACATGACGGTCAGATCGGACTTCATCAATAATTTTAGAATGTCTTTAAAAAAAATATGTTAGCCAGCTATGCGTCGCTTTACGGGAAAAACATTTGTCAGCATAAACAGGAAGCAGTTTGTTATGAATGTCCTTTGCTGGCAGCCCTTTTGCACCCCCCTCCTCCCCCCCCCCTAAAAAATGCACAACAGTACTTTGTTTTTGAGGGTACACTCCCTAAATTCAGTCGCCATTTTGTTTATGTGTTGCAAATGCGCATACAACACCTAGCGCCATCTAACGAACGGAGACAAAAAGTTCAATGTTGCTGTCACCTAATGACACCTTTAGAAATTACGAACTACATTTTCTTGCCATCCCATAATTATTTGTTACTTACCTCTTGACTTCCCCTCCTAATTAAAGTGTATATATTTGCAAGTTTTCTGCGTTTAGCGGTTGTTGTGTAAAATGGTAGGGCCTCATGACTTTATGTGGCATAGGGCCTCATCAAGTCTAAATCAGTTCCTGGTTACTGTTATCCTCATTTTAACTTCACTGGAGGCGAACATGGTATACGGGATTTGCCTGTTGTGTTGACATCAAGGATATGCCTCTTTTATAAGCAACAGAATACACCATGGAATACACCGGTGATCACGTGAGATCTTAGGTTGGTTATCGTATAACATCTCCTACCACCCATCATCACTCTACCCCTCCCTCTTTCCCCCGGCTTGTCAAGTAACACATGATGATGATGGATTCTTCTCTGTCTCTCATTATCGCACTGCAGTACTCTGCTATGACAGTTGCTCTCAGCCTTCCTAATACAGTTCCTTAAGTTGTGGCGTAACCCAAACAATTATTTTCCTCCTTACCTTCAATGAATATGTGTTTTCCGATGGTCTTAGGCGACCCCTGTGAAAGGGTTGTTTGACCCCCACCCCCAAAAAAGGGTCGTTACCGGAAGATTGAGAACCGCTGCTTTAGCAGATAGGGAACATCATTCTGCCCCATCAAGCATGCAAGAGAACGTTACAGTAACAGAATAATGTCTATGGCCGGCTTGGGAGAAAATCCATCCGGCTTTCAATAGGCGAGTCACGTAGAGGCTGCCACTGTACATTGACATACTCAGATATAAAGAGACGGACAGGGCGGCTTAAGCAATAGATGGATACACAGATATCAGCGCGGGACGCTGCAGATAGATGTACGTCATGTTTTCCGTGAGTAGGGTTGCAAATTAACGGCTGCGATATTCACTCTGTGGTTCAGACAGACTACAGCAGCTGTTGTCAACCTGTGGGTGGCGACCCTTCTGTGGGCGGAACGAGCTTTTTACAGGAGTCGCCTAAAACCATCAACATCAACCAAAGAAAAAAAAATATTCATTGAAGAACAGCGAAAATAATTTTTGTTTTTGGAGGCCACTACAACATGAGGAACTGTATTAAAGGGTCGCGGCGTTACGAAGGTTGAGAACCAGTGAACTAAAGTATTACTGATTCTCCAGGCATAGACAGATGTCATGTGTATGTTGCTGAGCTTGTGTGTTTCTGTATTTCCTATGGAAGCATGTGAATGCGAGTCATTGGATGTTTCGCAGTCATTAAACGGGAAAACACGGATCTTTATCAACTTAAATGATACATTTAAAGTTAAAAGTTGAAAGGCTCTTCTTTATCCTATATGGTTCAGTCTCTCTCTCTCTCTCTCTCTCTCTCTCTCTCTCTCTCTCTCTCTCTCTCTCTCTCTCTCTCTCTCTCTCTATCTCTATCTCTCTCTTTCTCTCTCTCTCTCTCTCTCTATTCTCTCCGTTTCTCTCCCCGTAGAGTGGCTAGCCGCTTGCCGAGAGCGACGCACAAAGCAAAACATGGTAGCTCGGGTGACGTCCCCAGAAGTCTCGGTAAAATTTGAACTGAACGACGTAGTGAAACGAACTTTTACCTTCAGAGCGCGAGGCGAACGGCTTGACAACTTGGCCACGGAGACGTTCCTAGTACCCATTTTTTAATGGGTGGACCTGAGAGCGTAAGTCAGGAAACCCGTCTCGCTGCATATTGGAACCCAGGACCTTTAGGTCAGCAGTGAGGCGCCTGCTAGAGTATTTACTTTAGTGAGTTTCAGAAGTTGTACCCTCACACTTTAACACAAATCTCGAAAACTCCTGTATGATGAACACTAATTTTTACATGTGCTCTTAGATTTTATTTTATTAGTTTTATGCACTTGTGATTTTATAACTTACAGTTGCACAAGTGCTGTTGTTTTTTCTTGAGGCGGTGAATTTCTTTCATCTTTGTTTGACTAATAATTGTGTATCCCTACGAAAACAATATACAGTAACTGACTCGTGCTTGGGGATTGTTTGGAAATCAGTTCACACGTGCAGCGGGTCGTGGTGATTATTTTGATAGCATATCCCGCATACAATGAAATATTGTGGTCATCTCATTAGCGGGAGGCTAATGGTGGAGACTCCAGTTGAGAGTGAAACGCCTGTTTTTTGAATGTTTTGTAAAGTTCCTGTTACCCTATTATTTATTTACTGCAAAAAAAGGCAATTTTTTTTTAAATAGTTGCAAGTACATGATTTTTAACAGGCTGCATGCCAAAATTCAACAATTACACCGAACGGTTGCCGAGTAACATATTGTTAAAGTTGAGCACGATTTTTGGAACGGACTATAAAACCATATTGTTGACGTGCTATTTGTAAATCTATGGGCACTGTATTTTTACAGCTGCATCGATGAGTATCTTCTGAAGGCTTTCATTCTCTGTTAGGCCAAGAGGCATGTCCTTTGGGAACAGGATTTATGCTGCTTTCTGGGCTGAATGTTGACTGTATCTGCCGCCGCACCGGCAGCAGGAGATGCTGGCTCAGTTTCCGCTCTGTTTTGCAGCAAGAACTCCGCCATGGCGTTAAATAGTTCGCAGACGTTAGTGGAGTGCTTGGCGCTGGTCTCTAAGTACGACATCCCGAGTCTGTTGGCGAGAGCTATAGCCATCTGAGGGTCTAAAACTCTGCGGAACATCAGGTCATGCTTGTTGCCAACAAGGAGTCCCAGAGAGCAGCGCGTGTTATAACGCTGAACTTCCGTAAACCAGCTCTGAATGTCGCTAAAACTATCCATGTTGGTAATGTTGTAAACCAAGATAACTCCGTCGGCGTTGCGGTAAAAAGGGGCTACGACATTCTTGAACTTCTCCTGCCCTGCCGTGTCCCACATCTGAAGCGTCACTTGCCGGCCTTGAACTTGCACAGTTTTAATCCTGCAAAGATTGCGACATCAGGAAATAGGCTAGACTCTTATTGTGTGTATTCGTGTGTGTGTGTGTGTGTGTGTGTGTGTGTGTTGTTGACCAATCGCCTAAATGGGTAATGTGTTCAGAATCACGCCGGTCGCCTTTACTTCCTAAGACTTTACCCGGTACCCATTGTAAGACTCCAACGGCCTTGGAGCCAAGATCATGTTTAAAAAAAAAAATCCGACACTTTGCGGAAATGAACCCACGACCTTTGGATCCGCAGGCGAGATTCTAGCTGCTACATTACAGCGGCGAGGAGAGAGTGGATGATGAACACAAAGAAATGGGAAGAGAGTGATTTGGCATTGTTTGTTGCGAAGCTGTAGTAGCATGGAACAATAAATATATATTTTTGTACTTGAATAATGATAGTCATGTAACTTGAATAAATGTAGATTTTTGTTGTCAAATAAATATTGGTATTTAACTTGAATAAATGTTAGGTTTTCGTACTTGAATAAATTTAGTTACTTAACTTCAATAAATATAGGTTTTTGTACTTCATTAAATATAGTTATTTAGCTTGAATCTATATTAATAAAAACATTCATTTTCCGAGTTTGTTAACTATAGACTCGGAATTTGTTTGAGTCTTTGGTAGCGTAGTTGTAATTATTCTGCATATCATGCAGGTGACCCGCGTTTGATTCCCCGCTAGGTGATATTATTTTTTTTATCCCTTAACTGGGCAGCTGGCACGTTGTGTTGTAGTTTATGGCTGCGATATCTACCCCTTTTTTCGGTTTAGGGGTTTACAGCTAGCCTGCGACAGCGGTGACGTGATACTTAATGGTCATGTCACGGGTAATCTTCGTTCGCCCTCGAGAGGGCCGTTGGCACGTTATGTTGTGGTTTACAGCTAGGCTGCGATATCTGACCTAAACTCTTTCGTCTTCTGTAGTATAGTTGTGAGTATTCCATCCTTCACGCTGGTGACCGGTGTTCGAATCCCCGCTGGGTTTTAAAATCGTTCTTTTTCCCTTAATAGGGTGGTTGCCACGTTTTCTTGTGGTTTACAGCTAGGCTGCGATATCTGCGCCTTTCGCCCAAAGACATCAGATTTCAGTTAAGTTCCAGTTAGCCTCCCCGCGACGCTTCTCGGTCAGAAACTATTCGGCGATGATAGAAACTGTTAACTAAGACAGCTTACATACAGTCCAGTTTAGTTTGGGTGGACACGGATGCCAAAGTCAGTTAAAAATCGTTCCTTCGGAGAGGGAGAGATGACAGGTGCGGGGTATTTTTCTCCACTAATCGTGATTATAGTGTACTTTTTACTGTGGGTTCCATCACTGGTTATATGATGTATTTTTTTTATATATGTCGGGGGCAACATTAAACTAAAGAGTCCGTGGCGACAGCATGCCAACTGCTCTGGCTACACCGACCTACATAGACTGTAGTGACAGCTTTTGTTGTTGTTGTTGTGATGGTGGTGGTGGTAGTGGTTGCAGTAGTACTGGTACTGGATGGGTGATGTGGTAGCTGTTACACTGGCCACATTTACTTCTCATTACAAATTAATGCTACCTATTTAAGTCTGGATGGACACGGATGCCAAGCTCAATTTAGTTACAATATTTCGTCACATGGTGACTTTCCCATCCTTCAGAGGATGATATGATTACTGAGGGTGGGGGGGGGGGGGGGTTGATGCCAGACACTGTTAACTGAGAGAGCTTAAAACATTGTTTTAAAGTTCTAATTTCTTAACTATATTTATTTTTTAAATTTCACAAGGTGATGATTTTTCAACCATCCTTCGGAGAGGATGATATGATTAGTGGGGGAGGGGGTGGAGGGGGGATGTGACAGACACTGTTAGATGTAAGCTATTTTCTTTCCTCTCCATTTCACCATTCTAGGCCACAGGTACAGCTAGTAAATATATATTTTTGTTTTTCAATAAATATAGTTATTCAACTTGTTTTAAAATATATATTGTTGTACTTGAATAAATATAGGTAATTAACTTGAATAAATATACATTTTGGTACTTGAATAAATAAAGGTGTTTGTACTTGAAAAAATATAGTTACGCAACTTCAATAAATATAGATCTCTGTACTTCAATAAAGATAGTCATGTTTCTTGGATAAATATAGATTTTTGTTATCGAATAAATATAATTATTTAACTTAAATAAATATAGGTTTTTGTACTTCTGTAAATATAGTTATTTAACTTAAATAAATATATGCTTTTGTAGAAATGAAGTTGTTCAGCTTGTTTCAATTATAGATTTTTGTACTTGAATAAATATAGATTTTTTTTATCAAATAGTTACTTAAAATGCCCGGCTCACTAGCACAGTTGGCTAAACCTGACTGCGCGGCGACCGGGGGACGAACTCCTTGTGGTCCGGGTTCACAGCCGGGGGTAAGCATAAAGCCACATTTCTCCCAGATTTACGGTATCTACCATGAAATCAAAGCTAAAAGGTTGCGATATCCATAATACCGAGCCAAAGAGTTAACAACTCATGGTTTCTGGATACATTGAAAAAATGAAAATGAAAAAAAAAAAAACATTTGTAAAAGTGTAACTTGAATCAATGTAGGGTTTTGCACTTGAATAAATATAATTATATAACTCGAATCAATTTAGATTTTGTTCTTCAAGAAAAATAGTTTTTGAGCTTGTTTTGAATATAGATTTTTGTATAGAATATAGATTTTTCTACTTTAAAAAAGGCAAACTTTGTGTACATTAAGACATGAAACATTACCTGAAAATAAACGTTACGGCTCTTTGGAAGCAATAATTAAAATAACAACCGGTATTATGTTCGAGAACTTGGTAACAACTGGCAAACTTGATAAAAAGAGGCGAGATGGAGGAAAAAAAAAGTAAATACCTGGATAACCTGTCAAGATGGCTGGGGCGAGACAACAACATTGAACTGATCCGTGATTCTGGTAATCGTGTGAGATGGCGAAAAATTACTGCTTTTGCCTACCGGAACGGCACATGATGGTGATGAGGATTTTTCGGGGGGTAAATGGTAAGTGTCACTTGTGCAGTGTGACGGAATATCCGCCTACCACCCCGGGCTGCTGTGACTTAACGTGTCAGAAACCTCAGTGTTTGGGATCAGGGTTGCCATATTGGCAATTTTTATGCCAGATTCCACAAATCTGGCATATTTGAAATTGTACTGGCATAAGATAATCAACTGGCATATTTTGGCATATTTGGGTTTTTCCTGGCTTTTCTTATCAAGATGTGCTCACATTTGCTTCATGGTTCCTCCGTTAGAAACATGCAGATTTGCTAAAATTAATTTAGATCTACAGTTAACATCTTTATTTCAGTTTGACTTTGTTGTGATGTCCTGGTACAGACTAACTGTGATTCGCGCCATTTCTTATTGTATTTGTTGTCTCCTAAACGGATCATGACTTCGATAAACCCAGGCCCTCTGTAATTTATGTTAAATCTACTAAAATAAATTCAGGATATAAAACCAAACCCCACAACTGATACCAACTGATTCAGACTGTTCAGAAACTACTTAAGGACAGAAAATAGAGAGGATATAGACCTAGTTCTATCTGTGTCAGATATTACTTTTACCAATGGCCACGTCATTAAAAAAAAAAGCATCTTAAAACATCGCAAGTATAATAGTAAAAGGAAGAAAACATACCCACGGCTCAAAAGATCTTCAGACGGATCAGGAGCAGACTATTGTAAACTGTGTCAGTGCACTGTTGCACCAAGAATTAGTAGCATATTAAATCATGAAAAATCCGATGAACACAGGATGAAAACTCTGTCAAAAAGCTAGTCACAGCTTATTGCAACAATGATTACTAGGCAAAGTAATGATACAGTTAAAGCAGCAGAGTTGCAACTTGCTGTAAGCATGACCTGTCATTGTGCAAAACGCACAATTGATCATCTAAGTGAAATCATAAAAGCGCATGTTCGGGGGAGTACATTGGAGCACATACAGTTGCATAGAACTAAATGTTCATGCCTAATAAAAAATATGTTATGGCCTGCACTTAAGGGTGATCTTATTGGTGATTTTCGGAACAATAAATATTCCATCATTATAGATGAGTTGCAAAGACTTCATCCCATCTGAGAAAATGCTTAAAGATTTCAAATCCGAAAAAGTTTACGCTGTTTCTTCCACTGGTTCCAGTGAGGATGACAGTGAAGAATTCAATCTATAGCTTTTGATGTGAAGCGAGTACAATGTTATACTTTATCTGGCATTTTTATGGCATATTTTGGGTAATGGTTTGGCATAAAATTCAGTTTTTCATCTGGCAACCCTGTTTGGGATTCTCTACACTGGTGCCAAACACGCAGCTGTACACAGTGTTTATTAGAGCGACTACATCCTGTTCTTGGCAACCAGTGTGTCACAGTGGTAAGCACGCTGGGCTGTGAGACCCATGGTCATGCGTTCCAATCTATTGGTGGCGGGGATTCTTTATAATTAATATCAGCTTCTAGCTCAGTTATGCTCAGAGTAAAAGAAAGAGTTGGGGGGGGGGGGGGGGGGGGGGGGGGTCGTCTTTAAAAAAAAAAAGACAATTTCTCAAGGCGAGGATGCTTATTGCTATCTGGTGTTGCTGGTTGGTACCTTACGTCTTTCCAAAAGTTATAGTGTTTCATTGTGCTATTGGAATGGGTCGGTTTACGAATGCAGTTTTTACAGAGACACAAAGGGGATCGACGCCGGAGCTAGGGTGTTTTGTGTGATGCTCTCGGCAGGGGCTAGCCATTCTACAGAAAAAGAGAGAGAGTGAGAGAGAGAGAGAGAGAGAGACCCGAGCTATGTGGGGTCAAAGCTGGTGCAATAAAGTGAATCCTCTCGACTGTAACCTCGACTTGGCTCGGCTCTCTAGCGTAGTTGGTTAAACTCTGGCATCGAGGTGACCGGGTGACGAACTCCTTGTGGTCCGGGTTCACTCCCGGGGGTAGGCAGAAAAGCTACATTTCTCCCAGATTTACCGTACCTATCATGGAATCAAGGCCGAAGGGTTGCGATATCCATAGTACCGAGCCAAAGGGTTAACAACTCATGGTTTCTGGCTATTTAAAAAAAAAATAAATAATAATAATACCCTCGACTTGAACTATTGGGCCTCCTGGGAATCACGGCATATGACGATAACAATTGGGAGCAGGTATGAAGTGCCTCTTGTCCACAGCACAAACACTGGACAGTATTGCAGAGTCCATGCGTTGCCCATGCGGCATGACCCCTTCCCTCTGTCTGCTTGGGTTTGTCTGTGAATCTGTTCGTGCCTGTGTGTATCGTTTCTGTGTATATGCGGAGTGTACCTCTGTAAATGGATATGTTTGTGTGTGTTATGTATTATTTATGTGTTAGATGTGTGTGTAGCAGTCCGTATTATGTCTTTGTGCGCGCCTCCGTTTGTGTAAGTTTGTGTGTATGTGTGTGGAAGAGGAGGGGGGGGGGTCGCTTTGCTTATGTATCTCAGTCGTTTGTTTGTATTTCTTGTATGTGTATTTGTAGGTATATATTTGCCAAATGTGCTTTTGTATTTTATTAAATATTCAAAATATGAATTGTTATCGAAATGAGCATAAAATGCTTTATATTTAAAACTTATTTTCCGTTTTAAAGGGTCGAGCACCCGTGTGCCATATTTATGACCCTTTTGTAATAAAGTTCGTTCGTTCCTTCTCATCCTGCCTTGTTATCTCTAAAGGAAAAGTAACACCAGTAAAACAGCAGTGTTGGCTTGTTATGTTCCTAGGACAGAATGAGTGAAATAAACAATTGCCTATGACCTAAAGTTCTAACTGGCACTTTGAGGGAATCAGACACTCACTCAAAGGCATTAAACAGGCATCTGAGTTTAAATATCTGGGAACTACATTTACCGAAGATGGGAAATTGGATAAAGAAATTGACATTAGATGCAGCAAAGCAAACCAAGTATTATGACAGCTAGCCCCCCTCTTACAGCATAAGACAATCCCAATCAGCACAAAGAGACATCTTATTCAAAGCATATTTATTCCAACTCTGTGCTACCAGTGCCAGACATGGTCACTCACAACAAACCATAAAAGAAAATTAGTAACCACGGAAATGAGATGTCTGAGAAGGGCTGTAGGAGTGACCATAAGAGATAAGATCAGAAATTAGATCATAATAGAACAAGTCGGCACAGAACCAATTCTGGATTACATACAAAGACAGCAAGTGAAATGGTTTGCCCACTTAGAGAGAATGCCTTGTGACACCATACCATACAAAGCATACATGGGAAGAGAAGAAGGATGTAGAGCACGGGGTAGACCAAGAACAAGATGGAAGGATAACATCAGAGAAACTCTACAACAGTACGATGTGCCTATGGTCCAGGCAGCCAGAAGAGCTAGAAACAGAACCTTATATCTCCCTCGACACCCACAGCGGTAAAAGAGGAAGCGAAGAAGAAGACACTCACTCAAAATCCACTCCTATTGTGGGCTTGCCATTCTCACTGAAGCTGTCATCCGTGAATCGCTGAAGAAGACTCGTCTTACCCACACCTGAACTGCCAATGAGGATGATCTTGAGAACACCGTCTGACTTGCCGTGACTTGGCGTTGTTGAAGTCGTCGTCACCGACGCCTGTGAGCGGATGTTGCAGTTGGTTAGAGAATGGTCTTTTTTCATTATTCAGAGGTGAAAGTGATGGTGAGAGAGGATCGACTTCATTGCACCGGGTTTTATCACATATGGCTGAATCTCTCTTCGCAGAACAGCTAGCTGCCTGCCGAGAGCCTCGCATAGAGCACGACCTCCGTAGCTCTGGCGACGATCCCAGTGATCACTATAAAAATTGCACTCGTGAATTGAACGGCGCCGCCGTAAAACGAACCCACGACTTTCAGAGCGAGGGGCTACTTTGATACGGAGAACCCCCTTTTCATTAAAGGAGAGCCGTGGTGATAGTGGATAGCAGGCCTACAGCAGCGGAGATCACTAATGAATGTCTTGTGTCTCAGTAGCTACGTGAAGTAAATATAGATAAATGGTTCAAGGACAGAAGGTCGGCTCTAATGCACTAGGTAAAAGGTCAAGGTCAAGTCGAGAGATGTGAACAAGCGTCATTGCACACTGTTATGAAATATAAGTGCTCTGCCACCAGTACGGACAGCTGATACAAAACTGTCCGCTTGTGTCGCCTTCCGCACTTAACTCTGTAGCTACAGAGACGTTCCTCTATTTACCCCCGAGTGGTACCCCATTATCTAGAGGCTGGGTGAACCCCTGGGAACCGTTTGGCTTCTAACACCGGCCGTGGGCTGCAGCAAGTCGCAGCTGAATTTTAAAGCGAGTCTCCTATCGACTGTGCTAACGCGGTCGCTTCGCTATGTTATGTCTCATAAGGTTCGGTCACTCTTGGCAGCACGGTTGTAGGTTGATCTACACAGTGTAGAAAGTGTCCATTTACACCAGGCACAGATTTCTTACCGTCCCCAGACTCAAACTTTTAGTACGTTAACCCATCCTTTCCCGAGTATGACTTAACACATGTCTTATAGTTTTATTATTTTAACTCTTCAAGACTAAAATAGCCACTCCCAGTATTTGTTATTCTGTTATCTTCACGTACTTGGCATTAGGTAGCAAAACAGGATCACAGACACGGAGTCTTTGGAAAGAGCAGGTATTAGAACAGTATTATCAATGCTCAGTCTAGGAAGGGGCGTGTGGCTGGCTGGTTCACACCTGGAGAATGAAGGATGGTGGAGTTTTTAAGGTGAATTGCAGAGTGGTAGAAGATGTTGAGGCCTGCCTCTAATTCGATATAAAGATGTGTGCAAGCGGGGCATGAATGATACAGGTATTTAGGTGAATTCGCGGGAACAAGATGTTAAGGTGCGTGGAGGGGGGGGGCATATAAGGAAAGGAATGAGAATGAAGGAAGAAATAATTGCAAAAAGATTGAGAATTAAACGTCTTGGAAGAAACGCACTTAACACAAATTTTGACAATGGTCTTGAAATCCCCTGCTGTAATTGTGGACGACTTTTCTTAACGCAGACGGCTGTTGCTAGTCACATGCTTCCTAATATATAACACACTGGTCTGAAAAGCCAAAAAGGTGCCAACTATATCTTTACACGTGAGCCAGGTGGGGAGCCACCGCAGTAGCCTAGTGGCTGGAAGCTCGCGTGCCGTCCCCAAGGTCTTCGGGTCCAGTTCGCATCAAAGCTTGGTTTTTTTTTAATGAGCTTTTATTAATTTCGGATGTGTTTGTTTGTCTGGTTCAACTTTTTTCTTCTTCAGCATTGACCTGGCTCCCAGACTTACATTTTAAGTTATGTAATGTTATAGGAGATGGCTGTTCAGCTAGAGAAGTCCCCGTGGCGGAGTGGCTAGACGCTCGCCGCGAATCGGAAGGTCGTGGGTTCGCTCCCTGGAGGAGCCGGACTTTTTTCTCAAGTGGCATTGGCTCCCAGGTCGACCCAGCCTTGAGTGGGTACCCGGTGCAGTCCCGGGAAGTAGAGGCAGCCGGCGTGATGCTGACCACATCAACCATCTTGTGCTGATTGGTCTCTAAACATATAGGTCTAGCCCTATATGCCCTATACGCCTAAAGGCGTGAAAAATATTCCTTTACTTTCACTTGTAATGTTGTGTTAGTTATATGCTTAGGCTGGGACCTCTAGCCTGTGAAGATCCCCATTTTCATCAGTTTGGCCCATGGGTAAACCTAGTTGAATAAGTCTTGCTCTGGGAAGTAAAGGCGTTCGGCATGATGTTGACCACATCACTCAACAACGTTCCGGTTGGGCTTTGAAAATATACAGCTTCATGTTTTGGAATCGCTAGTGGCATTTTAAAAAGTTGGGTACTGTGATTTTTTTAAATATAATAATCCAAACGACATCATGGCGTGCAGTAACATAAACTGTAGTTGTTTCGTTTATAAGACTCTTTTTCATGTATAACTGGCTGATTTTTTAACCCACGGGGACATCAAACTGAGCGATAAAGATCCGGTGACAAGTACCCCTATACCAATGAGGATTACTCGTGGAGAGGTCCCAGAAACCGACGTTCAACCGTTAGGATATATTAGGGCCCCTGGCAACAACCAGGGTGGGGCTTCGAAATAACGAAAAATTCATCCCGCATGGGGACGCAGATTAATTTCAGTGTATGAGACGCCCCGTGTACAAGATGACCCATCTTTTCTGTGTGCCGGTAAACACATTTTTTTTTTAAATCTAGACGACAACCAGTTGTAAACTTAAACAATCTGGGAAAACATATCGTATTATACACGAACAAATGCTCTACCATATTTAAATGACTTTGAAAATCCCACTCTTGAGAAAACACTGGCTCTTCTTCGCATGCGCATGCACCGGCTGTAAACTCGGGCTGAAAGTTCTGGTTGGTTTATCCACCTCTAGACTTAACGCTTGTTCGGGAACCGGAGTGTTGCGTGCACCTCCGTTCAAAGTCACAGTCTGTTTGTAACAATGTCCAGTTAGTGGCTTATATATGTTCTTCTAGGTCTGGCTATCTTGTGGACAACAGCTGTCTACCCGGACTTGTGTTGTCATGGACATTATGTGTACACAATGACGTGGCCAGTTTGTTGTGTTGATCCTGTTTCGGTGAGGATATACAACCCTTGGGGGATTGATGATTGTGTTACTGTATATAGTGGTAGCTCACTGTGACTCATGATCCATAGTGGAGGGGAGTGGGGAGGATCCCAACTGTGAGCATATTGTCATCTCCTGTATCATTGTTTGTCTCGTTTTGTTTCCCCATATGAAGGATTATCTTTGTATCTGGAGCCTCTCTCAGTTTAATCTACATCGATACCTCCCTATCTCTCTCGAACAAACTAACGAATGTACTTTATTTTCAATTTTTGACCCATTGACAATAAAGTGTGTTCGTTCGTTCTTTGGGTTCTTTTTATTCCCCCCCCCCCTCCCCCCATCTCGAGACTGCGAGATTTCATAAGAAATTCGCGGGACAGTCCATTAGTGTAGGGATATTAGGGTGTGAAATGAACACCCACAAACATTAACTCTAACTCTTCCCATCCCCATAGTATTGGACTTTTCTGGAAATTCCCTATGAAATCTCGGAACCCCCGAGAGGGGTGAAATAAAAGAAAATAACCATTCGTTGTACCTGTTTAATTAATCGCCTTTTACGACACGTTTGTTAGCCGGCGTCAGTGGCTTAGTCGTTGCTAATTCTGGGGCGCCGCGTTCGGTCTCAGCTGCATGAGATTTGACTCAGACCGCCTTGTTCTGTTTCGACTTGTTGTTGAGAACCGACTGTTTGGAAAGCAGCGGTGGAAAGCAGTTGCAAACTAATTAACGTAAGACTGCCTAGTGAAATCACAAACAGCCGCAGTTGCAAACTGATTAACGTAAGACTGCCTAGTGAAATCACAAACAGCCGCAGACACAAAATGCCGGGTTGATTCTGCTACATCCAGTAAGACTGTTAGGGCAGCTAAGCCTATTCTTTTTCCCCATAATGAAATCCCGGAACTTCCACGGGGGAACTAGGAACAAGAAAAAGATGACCACAGTTAAGAAGTGTTTGAGAGGAGGCGAGAGGGTGGACAACCATATTCCTAGGTTATTTCACCCCATCTCGGGTGACTGAGATTTCGTAAACAGTTCCTGACGACCTGGGACCTGTTTTTCCTTCTTCCACTTCTTTTCTCTCTTCTGCTGCTTCTTCGTTCTCTTCTTTTCCTTCGTCCTCCACCTTCTCCTTCTCTTCTTAGTGCTCTTTCTTCTTTCTTCGTGTTATTGCTTTTTCCATCTTAATCATTTTTCTTCTTCTTATAATTATTCTCCACCGCCTTCTTCTTCTTCTTCTTCTTATTATTATTTTTCTTTTTCTTCTTCTTCTTCTTCTTCTTCTTCTTCTTCTTCTTCTTCTTCTTCTTCTTCTTCTTCTTCTTATTATTATTATTATTATTATTATTATTATTTGTCTTCTTCTTCTTTGTCTTCTTCTTCTTTTTCTTTTTCTTCTTCTTCTTCTTCTTCTTCTTCTTCTTCTTCTTCTTCTTCTTCTTCTTATTATTATTATTATTATTATTATTATTATTATTATTATTATTATTATTATTATTATTATTCGTCTGCTTCTTCTTGGTGTTATGGTGTGAAATTAACACCGACTAACACTAACCCTGACCTCCCCCACCCCCAATAATATTAGACTCTCCTGGGAAATGAAGTCTCAGGAATTTCCGATATGGGTTTTAAAAAAAAATAAAGGAACTGATTTCTGGTGCGAAGGAGGATGAGACTATCGCATGTGTGTCCTACTAGCCCACTAGTACATGTGATATTATTGCTTCGGCAATTCTAGAACTCATGTATGTGATGTTTCTGTGAACTTGCAGGTGCTGTCTATTTTTGCCTTTGCCACAACCACCAGCCATTCGACGTCGACCAAGTTCTCCGCTCATTGTATCAACAGAACTCAACCTGTGACCTTCTCTTACAGCTACCCGTACGAGTAAGTAGATGTTTTGACTGAACATTTCGTGGATTAAAAGGGGGGGGGGGGGGGGGGATGATGAAGACAGCGAGATGGTAATAGTTTTGTTTGTTTTAGTATCCAGAAGCCATGAGTTGTTAACCCTTAGGCTCGGTATTATGGATATCGCAACCTTTCGGCCTTGATTCCATTGTAAATACCGTAAATCTGGGAGAAATGTGGCTTTTCTGCCTAGCCCCGGGAGTGAACCCGGACCACAAGGAGTTCGTCACCCGGTTACCGCGCAGTCCTGTTTAGCCAACTACGCTAGATAGCCGGGCAGATGGTGGTAGTTCAGTACATAGAGTGGCGTTAGTGGAAGGAAAGAGAAACCACACACAGTGGGAAGGGGAGGCAGACAAACAGAAGGGGGGGGGAGGGAGACAAACAGAAGGGGGGGGGGGAGGGAGACAAAGACACAGTGAGATACTTTATTTTAAGTCACCTCAAACAAAGGACATCTCTGAGTTCCTGGGAAAGTCCAATATTCTAGGGGTGTTATGGGTTAGGGTTAGTCGATGTCTCTGATGCTGTCCGATCTGACAAAGATCCTAACCATAACCCCAACCCATAACATCTCTACAATGTTGGACTTTCCCGGGAACTCCGCAAACTCCTTTGTTTGGGGGAATTGAAAATAAAGTATCTGAAATAAGACTAATATAAATGGAGAGAGTGGAAAGATATAAAGGGGGCCGAGACAGATAGACTGAGAGAAATACAGAGATCAAGAGAAACATTGAGAAATAGCGAGAGAAAAAGAGAGGGAGAGAGATAAGGAGAATGGCTTATTGATATTTGCAGAGGGATGTACAGCCACAGAACGGCACATGCAGCGTGCGAGGCCTAGTCATTTCATAGATAGTGTTTATTTGTGTATGTTGTCTTTGTTTACTGAGAAAGGCTAATCGCCGCAACGTCATTTGTTCACTGTAATTGATTTTGTAGAGCTGGAATAAACTGGGTTTTTTTTTCCCCTTACCTATTTTCTTCTCTTCCCTATAATTTCCTACCCTTTACTGAGACAGTACACTAAGGTACTGTTTACCATTTGCCCATCTCTTGATGTTTTTATCATGCTGCATTGTCAGTGATGTGTTTCATAGTTTACTAGTTGCCACTCCTGGGCCTGACACTAATACAACTAAAAATATACTTGTTCATTCTTCTTCTTTTTTTTTTCTTTTTTTTTTCTTCAAACTATTATTATCTTCTGCTTCTGCTGCTTCTCCCCGTCCTCCTCTTCTCCTTCATCTTCTTCTTCTTCTTTTCTTCTTCTTCTTTTTCTTCTTCTTCTAAGACCTTGTTCCCCCCCCCCCCTCCACCCCCAATGCATCATGTTCACTCCGCGTACTAAGATGTAATTCAAACAACCAGATATGCAATCATTCATCTGACCAACCAACCAACCAGCAAGTCTACCGCCGCTTAACCACGTCAACTAAGCCACCTATTGACCAAGCCACCAAATAACCAAGCCACCAAATAACCAAGCCACCAAATAACCATGCCACCAAATAACCATGCCACCAAATAACCATGCCACCAAATAACCATGCCACCAAATAACCAAGCCACCAAATAACCATGCCACCAAATAACCATGCCACCAAATAACCAAGCGACCAAGCCACCAAAAAACTAAACCACCAAATAACCAAGCGACCAAGCCACCAAAAAACTAAGCCACCAAATAGCCAAGCGACCAAGCCACCGAAAAGCCATGCCACCAAATAACTATGCCACCAAAAAACCATGCCACCAAATAACCATGCCACCAAAAAACCAAGCGACCAAGCCACCAAATAACCAAGCCACCAAAAAACCAAGCCACCAAATAACCAAGCGACCAAAAAACTATGCCACCAAATAACCATGCCACCCAATAACCGTGCCACCAAATAACCGTGCCACCAAATAACCGTGCCACGAAATAACCGTCCCACCAAATAACCGTGCCACCAGATAACCAAGCGACCAAATAACCAAGCGACCAAATAACCAAGCCACCAAATAACCAAGTGACCAAATAGCCAAACCACCAAAAAACCAAGCGACCAAATAACCATGCCACCAAATAACCATGCCACCAAATAACCTTGCTACCAAGCCACCAAATAACTACGCCACCAAATAACTATACCACCAAAAAACCATGCCACCAAATAACTATGCCACCAAATAACCAAACGACCAAATAACCAAGCCACCAAATAACCAAGTGACCAAATAGCCAAACCACCAAAAAACCAAGCGACCAAATAACCATGCCACCAAATAACCATGCCACCAAATAACCTAGCTACCAAGCCACCAAAAAACTATTCCACCAAATAACTATGCCACCAAATAACCAAGCGACCAAATAACCATGCCACCAAATAACCAAGCCACCAAATAACCATGCCACCCAATAACCAAGCCACCAAATAACCAAGCGACCAAATAACCATGCCACCAAATAACCATGCCACAAAGCCACCAAAAAACCATGCCACCAAATAACCAAGCGACCAAGCCACCAAAAGCCATGCCACCAAATAACCATGCCACCAAATAACCATGCCACCAAATAACTAAGCGACCAAGTCACCAAAAAACCAAGCCACCAAATAACCAAGCGACCAAGCCACCAAAAAATCATGCCACCAAATAACCAAGCGACCAAGCCACCAAATAACCAAGCCACCAAATAACCAAGCGACCAAATAACCAAGCCGCCAAGCCACCAAAAAACCATGCCACCAAATAACCAAGCCACCAAAAAACCATGCCACCAAATAACCAAGCCACCAAAAAACCATGCCACCAAATAACCAAGCGACTATGCCACCAAGCCACCAAATAACCAAGCCACCAAATAACCAAGCCACCAAAAAACCATGCCACCAAATAACCAAGCCACTAAATAACCAGCAAATAACCATGCCACCAAATAACCATGTCACCAAATAACCAAGCGACCATGCTACCTAGCCACCAAATAACCATGCCACCAAATAACCAAGCCACCAAATAACCAAGCCACCAAATAACCAAGCGACCAAATAACCATGCCACCAAATAACCATGCCACCAAATAACAAAGCGACCAAATAACCAAGCCACGAAATAACCATGCCACCCAATAACCAAGCCACCAAATAACCATGCGACGAAATAGCCAAGTCACCAAATAACTATGCCACCAAATAACCATGCCACCAAATAACCAAGCCACCAAATAACCAAGCCACCAAATAACCAAGCCACCAAAAAACCAAGCCACCAAAAAACCAAGCCACCAAATAACCATGCCACCAAATAGCCAAGCCACCAATTAATCAACCAACCAAAACATATAGAGTATGCACCAGTGTGTTCCCATTGTCACTGTTTTATTTTTTTTTCCAGCTTGACCAAAGTATGCTTCTCTCAGCCCGTGTGTGGAGCTGGTACCAAAAACGCTACAGATTCCTTCTGTCTGCTGGCTGGGGCACAGTCGGCAGCTCAGTTCTATGTCTTTGTGGGTGTCATTGTCTTCCTCTACTGCCTTACATCGCTGGTATTCTATATCGTGTTTGATACCTTGTACAGAAGATACTCCAGGATTGTTGTTGCTGTAAGTTGGCGTTTATGTTTTTTCATGATATTAATCAGATATCCTCATATATTCGAGTCATCATCATAAGATAGTGTGCTCCTTTTTTTCCCTCACTGCCTTTTCTTTCGTGGCTTTGCTAGTCGACTCGTAATTTCAAAGTACCCCGATCGAAACCCACTGCTGGCTGAGTGAATTTTTATCATGGTATGGGACCTCGCAGGTCGATCCAGCCTTAAAATGGGTACCATGATGGCTGTCCTGGGTAAGTAAAGACGGCCGTCGTAATGCTGACCTCATTACCCACCTAGTGCCGATTGGTCTCTAAAATATATGGGTGCTCTTTCCATAAGCCCGATGCGCCTAAGGCGTAAAAAAGGGATCTTTGCTTTACTTTTTTTTTTTCTATTTAAAGGCTTTTATTACAACATTCTCAAACTTACCCGAGCAGGTCTGGCAGGTGCAGACTCATACCATCGTTGGAGATTGAAAACTACACGACAGTTTTGGAAAGTAAGGGAGTTAACCACGAAGTCTCCATGAGGATGAAAACTCTGTAAGGAGATTTGCCTGCCTGATATATGGTATTTATTACTTTCAGATGAATAAGCGGTCAGAAAGGGTCATTCATCTTTAATCCGCTCCAGATCCTTGGACGTGTACTAAACAGAACATATACAAGACATGAGATATACCAAACAGGACGTATATTAAACATGAGAAAACATGACATATACCAAACAGGAGGTATATTGAACATGAGAAAACATGACATATACCAAACAGGACGCAAAAATTAAGGGAGAGTGATTAATCCATCTCATGAAAAAATATTATCCTTAGTCATTGGAATATTATACAGTGATGGGGTTGTATAAAATAACATTACAACTAAATATATAAATAGACAAGCAGTTAGATAAAATAAGTGAACATTTGACCTCAAATTGAGATGAGTCCAGTGTCTACGTGGATGGTGCTGAGAAGGGAGGAGGAGGAGAAGTTATTATTTGAAAGGAGAGTCTCTTTCCAACAAAACGTCAGGCATCTGACATTCTCGTATTTGTGTGTGAGTGTGTGTGTTTTATGTGCTGCGTTTGTGTGTTTTCTCTTTCTTTTTTTTTCTGTCTATTTTTCCTACTTGATTCTGATTAGAGGTCATCTGTCCCAGCACACGAGTTTTTTTCCAGACAGACACAGCTTGTATATCAAGCAAAAATGGGGGGGGGGGGGGGGGGGTGATATACCCAGTTGGATATTAGAAAGCTAACATATGCAATGGTATTGTTTTATCTTTATCATTATCGTGTGCTTTGGTGCCTGGTATGGGCGATCATGCCTCTTCATCACCACCTGTGATCCCCAGCAGCATTCATCAACTGATGTGCTGCCAGCCCTCCATGCCATGACAAAAGACGGGTCATTGTTATTTAGGTCAATAAATAATGGGAAGTTGAAATATTAGAGGAGTGATATTGGTTGAGATCAATAAGTAATAATGTTATGAGAGTACTTGGCCTGAGACAAGGTTTCACAGGTACTATAGATTTCAAGTTTTAATCAGAATAATGGGACATTGAGAGATGTGGTGGCGCAGTGACTAGAAACCTGCCTGTCGACCTGAAAGTCAAGGTGCATTTTGGTGAATTGTCATAATTACACTAGTTTTCTTGGTCGACTTAGCTAATGTGTCATTAAAATAGTGGAATTATGATGCCCTTAATATAATAGTTGATTATAGCCATCGATTGTATCTTTTATAGAGAAGTGTGTGTGTGTGCGTGTGTGTTAATCTTATTAGAAGAAATGGACTTGAAAACTTGGTAACAACTGACAAGATTGATAGAAAGAGAGCAAAAGGTAGACACAGAGATAAATACCTGAATGGCCTGGCAGCATTGATGGGGTGAGACAAAAACATTGAACTGATCTGTGATTCTGGTAATCGTATGAGATAGTGAAACATGACAGCTTATGATTACCAGCACAGCACATGATGATGAGAGAAGAAATCTATGATAAGGTTCAAATCAACGACTGTAATCGAACATTGTACTAAGAACATCATAAATCAACTATTTTAATGACACATTGTTGGTAAGATTATATCAATATTCTTAGTTCAATTTCTATTTTTTTTAGTCACAACCCAAACATGTGTTGAGAAAGCAGTATTTGAAACTATACCCCCCCCCCCTTTTCCCAATGGGTTATGAAGGTCCATTGTGGGAGGGAAGGGCCCCCCTCCCTCTTCCCAATGGGAAAAATAAACCCACTGCCCCCCCCCCTCTTCCCAATGGGTTATGGAGGTCCATTGTGGGGGGGGGGGGGGAGAGAAATAAACCCACTGCCCAATGGGTTCCCCCCCCCCCCAAACATGCAAGGAACCAACAGTCTGCATACAAATAAGTCAGAGTGCATCTGCCTGAAAGGCATGGAACCAACAGTCTGCATACAAATAAGTCAGATATTTAAAACAGATGTGCATGCAAAACTCAGGTTCTGGTACAGGACTAGAGTCCAGAGATGGACAAACAACCAGAACTTTCTGCCGCAGTTTATGGCCCTTGGAACATGAAGAAGAAAAAGAAATTATAATACAAATTGCATATTTCTCTTAAATAGATAATTATACATTATGTAAAATAGCAGATATTGATGCTGATAAATCAAAGTCAGAGTACATCTACTTAAGAAATCAGGAACCAACAGTCGGCATGTATTTGCAATCAAAACTCATGTCCTGGAATAAAACTTGTCCAGAAGTGGGTGAACAACCAGAACTTTCAGCTGGAGTTTATGAATGTGAAGAAGATTTTTAATCATGACATATGTTTGTTAATCCTTCTTTTCTCTGCTGAATTCTTCCATACCCTATTATATCTATTATATCTATTATATCTACAGGATTTTATTATTTCCATTGTTCTGACGGTACTCTGGGTGATATCATCCTCGGCTTGGGCTGCAGGAGTCGCAGACGTCAAGACGTACACAGATCCTGCAGAGGGTGGCATCATAGGACCCACCAGTAAAGTGACAGACTGCCAAAAGCCGGGCAGTTGCACCGTTGACCACCTTGGCAACTTTGCTAGCCTCAATGTTTCAGTTGTGAGTTTCTGGCCTGTCATTATGTCATAAATCAGTTGCCATCTCCACAGAGTAGGCTGGCTGCAATTGATCTCCAACACACTCTGTGTCCTCTCTTGGTTGTACTCCTGGATCTCCAACACACTCTGTGTCTTCTCTTGGTTGTACTCCTGGATCTCCAACACACTCTGTGTCCTCTCTTGGTTGTACTCCTGGATCTCCAACACACTCTGTGTCCTCTCTTGGTTGTACTCCTGGATCTCCAACACACTCTGTGTCCTCTCTTGGTTGTACTCCTGGATCTCCAACACACTCTGTGTCCTCTCTTGGTTGTACTCCTTGATCTCCAACACACTCTGTCTCCTGTCTTGGTTGTACTCCTTGATCTCCAACACACTCTGTCTCTTGTCTTGGTTGTACTCCTGGATCTCCAACACACTCTGTCTCTTGTCTTGGTTGTACTCCTGGATCTCCAACACACTCTGTCTCTTGTCTTGGTTGTACTCCTGGATCTCCAACACACTCTGTCTCTGGTCTTGGTTGTACTCCTGGATCTCCAACACACTCTTTATCTTGTCTTGGTTGTACTCCTGGATCTCCAACACACTCTGTCTCTTGTTTTGGTTGTACTCCTGGACTCTGTCTCTTGTCTTGGTTGTACTCCTGGATCTCCAACACACTCTGTCTCTTGTCTTGGTTGTACTCCTGGATCTCCAACACACTCTGTCTCTTGTCTTGGTTGTACTCCTGGATCTCCAACACACTCTGTCTCTTGTCTTGGTTGTACTCCTGGATCTCCAACACACTCTGTCTCTTGTCTTGGTTGTACTCCTGGATCTCCAACACACTCTTTCTCTTGTCTTGGTTGTACTCCTGGATCTCCTACACACTCTTTCTCTTGTCTTGGTTGTACTCCTGGATCTCCAACACACTCTTTCTCTTGTCTTGGTTGTACTCCTGGATCTCCAACACACTCTGTCTCCTGTCTTGGTTGTACTCCTGGATCTCTAACACACTCTTTCTCCTGTCTTGGTTGTACTCCTGGATCTCCAACACACTCTGTCTCTTGTCTTGGTTGTACTCCTGGATCTCCAACACACTCTGTCTTTTGTCTTGGTTGTACTCCTGGATCTCCAACACACTCTGTCTTTTGTCTTGGTTGTACTCCTGGATCTCCAACACACTCTGTCTCCTGTCTTGGTTGTACTCCTGGATCTCCAACACACTCTGTCTCCTGTCTTGGTTGTACTCCTGGATCTCCAACACACTCTGTCTCTTGTCTTGGTTGTACTCCTGGATCTCCAACACACTCTGTCTCTTGTCTTAGTTGTACTCCTGGATCTCCAATACACTCTGTCTCCTGTCTTAGTTGTACTACTGGATCCCCAACACACTCTGTCTCTTGTCTTGGTTTTACTCCTTCTCAGACTTCTGTTTGTCCATCTCTTGATGTTGTCCTCCCACTTTTACATTTGTCTACCACTTGCTGTTCTGCCCTTGATATTTCCCCTCCACTATGGTTTTAAAAGAGTTCAGTCATTTTTTGCAGTTCATATATTGTGCTGCTTGAGGGAGTTAATGTCTTTCTACCTTTCTGTTTGTTTAAACTGAAGATGATTTCATTTGGCTCTGTGTCTGTCTATTCTTTTTCTGTATGACTATCTTACTATTCTATCAGTCTGTTCATCAGTTTGTCTGTCGGTTCATGAATTATTTACTTAGTCCTCTACATATGCATACATCCCTCTGTCTGTGAATCTCTATATTCATTAATATATCCATGCAGCCATCTATCAATCCATGTAACCATTTACCAATACATGCATTCATTCATGTGCCCATCTGTCTGTCCATACATGTGTGCATCCATTGATCAGACTGTGAGACCTATCTGTCTATCCATTCACTAGTATTTTTATCTATGCATCCAGGAAATATGTTTTCCTCCAGCCATGTATGAATCCATCTGGCCATCCAGCCTTATACCCACCCATGCAGCCACCCATCTGTGAATCCATATATCCATCAGTTTGTATATTTATCCATCATCCATCCATCCACCTGTCCATAAATCCATCAGTCTGCTGTCTATTCATTAATCAATTCTTCCTTCAGTATGTTTGCCTGTCTGTCTGTCTGTTCATTAATCCTCTATAGATTAATCATTCAGCAGACAGTCAGTTGATTCAACTATTAATCTGTGTTCTTCTCTTACATGGTTGTTAAACATGACACCAACAAAAACATTCACACTGATGTATGACAATTCTAGCATGTCCACTAACTGTGGGTTTTCTGTCACCAGATATTCGGCTTTCTCAACTTCCTTGTCTGGCTGGGCAACCTCTGGTTCCTGTACAAAGAAACGCCTTGGTTCAAAGTGCAAGCTAAACCCCCAATGCAGCCTGGAGCAGTTTCCGAGACAGACCCACAACGAGTTTAGCATCTGCTGATATTCACACATTAACAGTTAACTTTCTCTTGCTCACTGTTGCAGTGGCCAAGTTTGCACAAGGGTCTGGTTATTTTAATGTTTGTTGAAGTATTTCACAGTTGTGAGACTCCCAAATTTGTAGTTACGTTTGCCTGTAGGAACCAATGTTCAGTCTGCAAGTGATAAAACATTTGGTAGTCTTTAAGCATATGTTAAGCTGTCTGTTCTGCCAGTGCTTATGGGTAAAGGGTCAATGTGACCAACTGCAGTCCTTGAAAGTGACTGTTGAGTCTGAGTGAGAATGTTCATTCTGTGTGAATGTTTGTTCTGTGTAAGAATGTTCAGCCTGTGTAAATGACTGCAGTCTGCTCAAGTTACTTCAGTCTGATCAGGTGACTGTTCAGTCTGTGTAAATGAATGTTTAGTCTGTGTAAGTGAATGTTTAATCTGTGTAAATGAATGTTTATTCTGTGTAAGTGACTCTTTAATCTGTTTAATGAATGTTTAGTCTATGTAAATGACTGTTCAGTCTTGTGTGCCCTGTTCTAATAAGAAAGCTGGTCATATGTTATGCCTAATTAGAATATAAATCATTGATTGGTTGAGTATTGTGACACATGTGGCAGGTTTTTTGTTCATGTAAAGTCACTGGTTGTTCTGTTTGGCCACTTTAAGCTCTTTGTTTATGTGGCAGTGTAAGTGGCAGTGTAATGTGGCTGTGTGAGTGGCTGTGTAAGTGGCTGTGTGAGTGGCTGTGTAAGTGGCTGTGTAAGTGGCTGTGTAAGTGGCTGTGTGAGTGGCTGTGTAAGTGGCAGTGTAAGTCGCAGTGTAAGTGGCAGTGTAAGTGGCTGTGTGAGTGGCAGTGTAAGTAGCTGTGTAAGTGGCAGTGTATGTGGCTGTGTAAGTGGCAGTGTAAGTGGCAGTGTATGTGGCTGTTTAAGCAGCTGTGTAAGTGGCTGTGTAAGCAGCTGTATAAATGGCAGTGTAAGTGGCTGTGTAAGCAGCTGTGTGAGTAGCTGTATAAATAGCAGTGTAAGTGGCTGTATAAGTGGCAGTGTAAGTAGCAGTGTAAGTGGCTGTGTAAGTGGCTGTGTAAGTGGCTGTATAAGTGGCAGTGTAAGTAGCAGTGTAAGTGGCTGTGTAAGTGGCTGTATAAGTGGCAGTGTAAGTAGCAGTGTATGTGGCAGTGTGAGTGGCTGTATAAGTAGCAGTGTAAGTGGCAGTGTATGTGGCAGTGCATGTGGCAGTGTGAGTGGCTGTATAAGTAGCAGTGTAAGTGGCAGTGTATGTGGCAGTGTGTGGCAGTGTGAGTGGCTGTATAAGTAGCAATGTAAGTGGCTGTGCAGTGTTTCACATACTGAAACTCCAAAATATATTAGTCACTGTACTACTTTTTGAGGTAGTGTTTTCTAGGATCTAATGGGGAAAACAAAAATAGGCCCACGGCCTTCCTAACAAGCATGTCATAAGAGTCAACTAATTCGAGTTTTCTTCTAAATCAAAGTGCATCTGCTACAGAGGCGAGGAACCATCAGTCTGCATATGAATACGGCAGATCTTAAAAATGAATTTGCATGCAAAACTGAAGTTCTGGGGCAAGACTAAAGTTCAGAAGTGGTCGAACAACCAGAACTTTCTGCCAGAGTTTACAGTTAGTGAACGCAAAGAAGAAGTTTGGGTAGCACATCTGCTCCTTATTTTAGAGTATACCATGGAAAGTTTGTAGATTCTTGTTGACATGTACACAGAAAGTTTTATAATATGTTATACAAATGTACACAAAAAGATCTGTTAAACAAATGTACACAGAAAGTGTAAGGTCTTTTGAACACATGTACACAGAAAGTTTATAATCTGTTATACAAATGTACACAAAAAGATCTGTTAAACAAATGTACACAGAAAAATTAAACATTGATGGGAAAGATCTAAGAATAATAAAGAATATGTATTGGCAGCAAACAGCAGCTATAAGAATTAACAACTGTTTAGGTACATTTCAAAGCATAAAGAGGTGCGTACGACAAGGATGTGTACTTTCACCTGATTTGTTTTCAATATACAGTGAATATATTATGAGATCTTTAATTGATATGCCCGGAATCGTGGTTGGTGGGCACAATATAAACAATTTACGTTATGCTGATGACACAGTCTTGATAGCAACAAGTCAGAAAGAATTACAGGAAATGATAGACATTGTGGTGTTAGAAAGTGGAAGAATGGGCCTCAGTTTGAATAATGGGAAGACAGAAGTAGTGGTGGTATCAAAAAAACAAATTATTCCTAAATGTGTAATAAAAGTCAATGGTGTTATTTTAAGACAAGTACAGAAATTTAAGTATCTGGGCACATGGATAACATCAGATGGAAGATGCATAACTGAAATAAGAAACAGAATTGGACAGGCAAAAATTGCATTTTATAAAATGAGAAACATCTTGTGCAATATATCCTTGTCATTGAGAGTTAGAAAAAGAATTCTTGCTTGCTACATACATCCAGTTTTAACACATGGATGTGAATCCTGGACAATCGGTAGGCAGGCCAAACAATTTTTAGAGGCCTCAGAGATGTGGTTTTACAGAAGAATGCTTAGAATACCTTGGACAGCCAAAAAGAGCAACCAAGAGGTTTTAAAAGAGGCGGGAGCCCGAAGACAACTTATCACTGACATCAGAAGGAGACAGTCATCATTTTTCGGCCATGTTATGAGAAGAGGGAAAATAGAACATGTTGTGACCACTGGAAAGATCTGTGGAAGGAGGGATAGAGGAAGACAACGAGAGAAGATGCTTGACAGTCTTGTTGCCTGGCATGGAGGTGTGTCGGCACACGAACTGATACATGCTGCAGGAAATCGCGGATTATGGAGAGGCATGATCGCCTATGCCAGTCGGCAAGGCACCTGATGATGATGACACAGAAAGTGTAAGGTCTTTTGAACACATGTACACAGATAATTAGAGATCTGTTATACAAATTTACACTGTATGGTTTTGATCTGTTATACAAATGTGGGCGTGCACACACACAAACACACACACAGTGAAAGTTTATTATTTGCTGTTAAAAGAGTAACATACAGACAGTTAATTCTCTCTTTTATACAAATATACTTCAAAATATAATCCACTGTTACTAATATGCGCAGAAAGTTTATGGTTTGTTTTACAAATGTACACAGAAAGTTTATGGTTTGTTTTACAAATGTGCACATAATGTTTATGGTCTGTTATATAAATTTACACAGAATGTGTATGTTCTGTTATTGTATACTATATTCTAATCCTTTATTATTTCCAAGAATTCCACAGAATATTCCAGTGTAATGTTTATACCTTATTAAAATTGTACCAGAACTGTAATGAGGTAGTTTATGTGTATGGTGTGTACCTATTTAAAAACTGTACCAGAAGTGTAATTACTAAATATTTCATATATAATGTGTGTACCTGTTTACAATTATACTGAAAATATTATGAAGTATTTCACATGTGATGTAATGTGTTACCAGTTGTAATGTGTATTCAGAGTGTTATTATGCTTTGTGTTTTTATTAATTCACTGTGCTGTTGTGCCATTATCTGTCACACAAGACTGACAGTCTATTTCTCCATTCCGTTCTGTCCTGTACAATCACTTTATTATTGTAAATAGAATCCAGTCCAGTACCTTTGGCTCCTCTCTTCATTGTTGTTGTTGTTGTTCTTCTTCCTCTTCTTCTTCGCGTTCACCAGCTATAAACTCTGGCGGAAAGTTTTGGTCGTTCGTCCGCTTCTGGACTGCAGTCCTGTTCCAGAACTTGAGTGTTGCGTGTGAATCCGTTTGAGAGATCTAACTAATTTGTATGCAGACTGTTGGTTCCTTGCCTCTCAGGTAGATGCACTTCGACTGTGAAGTAAGCTCCCAATTAGTCGACTTTTACGACATGTTTTTGGGTAAGCTGTGGGTCTATTCTTGTTTTCCCTATAACAGGACCCTGGAACCCACACAAGGACTTCAGTGTTCTATTTGGGGTTTCTCATGGATGTCCCTGTTTCCTCAATTCATTTGTTTCCCATTTCAGTGCCTCTTTGGTGATTCTCTCTTGGTCTCTGCTCTCTTTTTCTCTCTTTGTCTCTGTTTAGAATGTGTTCAGTACAGCGCCATTTTTCTATGTCTTGTAACTGTCGATACTAGTGGTTGCTCAAACATTTCTTTTATTTCTTCACTCCTCTTGAATTCATCCCATTTTATATTCATCATTTTCATCTGGCATTTGTTTTTTTTTAATTATTTGGGTGTTGAAAAAGTCAACAGTTTCACTTATCTAGGGAGCAAGATGTCATCTACAGGAGATACCGCACCAGAAATACCATTTAGAATAGCACTGGCATCTAGTGCAATATGTCTGTCTGTCCAACATCTGGAAATCAAAGACACTTAGCAAACACACAAAACTCAAGATCTTCAATTCTTGTGTGATTCCAGTCTAACCTATGGATGCGAGAGCTGGAAATCAACGAAAACTCTAGACACAAAATTAGACAGTTTTGAAAATAAATGCCTTAGAAGAATACTAAATTTCAAATGGTCAGATTTCCGAACCAATACACAAATAAGGCAAGAATCCAGGCAAGAGTATGTGTCTTTTTTATACGAAAACGCCGCTGGAACTATGTCGGCCACGCCCTTAGAATGGATAAATCAAGACTTCCTTACCAAGCCCTCATTTGGAACCACAGGGGAAAAGATAAGACCAAGGGAAACCCTACGTAGAACTATCATCAGGGAAGGCTCACTCATGGGCCACTCAAACATCCAAGACCTACAACAGATTGCAACGAACCGCCATGCATGGAGAGTCATGACCTCTGCCCTATGTGCCGCACTCGACACAAGAGGAAAGACTAACTAACTAATCGGGTGTTATGCTTTTAGAATTATATAGTCATATGTCTGTCTTTTGTCTGGATTATGCTGAAAGATTCATTGCGATGTTATGTCTGTCTGTTGGAGGAATCATA